GCAAAACTGAGTATAATCCTTCGAGGAAAAATGGACATTCAGTGAAATAGAGGACTTTCAAGCATTCTTGATGACATGACCAGAGCTGAATAGAAAATTTGACTTTCAGATACAAGACTCAAGAGAAACATGAAGAGGTAAACAGGAAAGAGAAATCATAAGAGACTTATTAAGGTTGAATTGTTTACATTCTGCATGGAAAGATGATATTTGTAACTCATGAGACCTTTGTCAGTATTAGAGTGGCTGGAGGGGAAAAAATTATATGTATGTAGATAGATGGATGTATGGATGGATAGATAGATAGATAGAGAGAGAGAGAGAGAGAGAGAGAGAGAGAGAGAGAGAGACAGACAGATGGCACAGGAGGAGTTGAAGATGAAGGGATGATATCTGGAGAATAAAATTAAAGGGTGAGAGAGGATTAAAAGGAGAGGAGAAAGGGAGAGGTAGAATGGGGTGAATTATCTCACATAAAACAGACAAGAAAAGGCTTTTACAGTGGAGGGGAAACATTGCATTATGCTGTGTCTTTTAATATCCTATCCTGACTGTGTTCCAGTAGAATATAATGTCCTTGAATGCAGGGACTGTTTTATTTTTGTCTCTGAGTGCCCAGTCTATCTTGGCAGCCTTCACATGGTTGGTGTTTATATGTTTAGTGAATTGATGGCTGTCTTTCACTTATCAAGAGGGAATGAGTGAATCTTATTCTCATTGGATTTGGCTTAAGGAGAGAATAACATACACACTCAATTGCGTATGGAAATCTATCTTACCCTTCAGTAAAATAGGGAGGGAAGGGGACAAGAGAGCAGGAGGATGATAGAGGGGAGAGCAGATTGGGGGAGGGGATAATCAGAAGCATACACTTCTAAGGAGGGACAGAGTCAAAAGACAGAATACAATAAATGGGGGGGTGGGATAGCATGAAGGGAAATATACTTAGTTTTTCACAACATGACTACTATGGAAGTGTTTTGCATGACTGCACATATATAACCTGTATTGAGTTGCTTGCCTTCTCAATGAGGGTGGGTAGGGAGGGAGGAAGGGAGAAAATTTGGAATCTAAAGTTTTAAAAATACATGTTAAAAAAATTGTTTTCACATGCATGCAACTCGAAAATAAGATATACAGGAAATGGGCTATATAAATCTATCCCCCCCTACAGGAAAATTGAAGAGGAAAGGGATAAGAGAAAGGGGAGAGAGAGATAGAAGGGAGGGCAGATTAGAAGAAGGGGTATTCAGAATGCAAGCCATCTTGGGGTAGGAGGAGGGACCAGATGGGGAGAAAATTTGGAACTCAAAATCTTGTGGAAGTGAATGTTGAAAACTAAAAATAAATAAATTTTTTAAAAGAATGCGAAAAAAAATTCTGAAGTTTAACTTTACACCCATAAGATTGAGAAAGATGACAAAAGATGAAAATGGTCAAAGTTGGAGGGACTATGGAAAGACAGGCACACTAATGCACTTTTTGGTGCTGCTGTGAATTTGTCCAACAGTTTTGAAAAATGATTTGGAATTACTCCAAAAAGTCACTAAAACACACTCTTGGCTTCTAACCCAAGAAGGGCAAAGATAGAGGGAAAGGTCCTATATATACAAAAATATTTATAGCAGCACATTTTGTAGTAGCAAGAACTGCAAGCAAACAATACTCATCAATTGAGAAACATCAAATGAACAACATATGGGATATGAAAGCAATAGACTATTACTGTGCTACAAGATACAAACATGAAGAAGTCAGAGAAATTTGGAAAGGCTTGTATGTACTAATGGGAGAGGGAAAGTAAGCAGAAACAAGAAAACAATTTACACAACTACCACAATATAAAGAAACACAATACTGATAAGACTTCAAAACTCTGATCAATGCATTATGCAACTGTGATTTCAGAGGACTGGCAAAGTATGTTTCCTTTCCTTTGACAGAGAGATGCTAAACTATAGGTGCAGAACGAGGAATAAATTTTAGACACATCCAATATGTTTATTGTTTTTTCACTGTGCTTACTTATCATAGGGGAGAAATACACTGGGAAGGGAGGGAGGGATATATTGGTGGGGGGGAATCATGGAAAAGTGACAGTGATGTAAAAGAGTGCCAAGGGGGGAGTTAAAAAAAAATCAGGGTATCAGTTCCTTCCAACTCTAACTTTTGAAGGACCAGATCACATAGTTCATCCCCAAGGGAACTGAGAGGATTAGGACAGCAAGTGGTTAATGGTTGGAATTGAGTGAACTACACTGACTTCATCTTGCGACTCAATTATGGAACTAGTTCAATTCCTTTTCTATCCAGTTATGAGTCTGTTCCAATTTCTGTCTTGTGGGAAAATTTTATTTAGTTTTGGGAATTGGGGAAAAACTTTATTGCATTGTTTGAATCTAGCCCTGTTTGGCTGGGAAGCTGGACCACTTCTACCTGCTGCTTAGAGACCTTTAACTAAGGACCTATATTATGCTGATTAGAAACCCAGTCAGATCCTAAAACTGATGCAAGAAGATTTTTCACAATTACACGTCTCATGTAACCCATATATCTTATCTGAAAACTGGCCCCACACTGATCAGTTACTATTTCCATGTTTCTTTGATTGTTCACAGATAATTGGGGAGGAGGGAGTGGGACACCTTTTTCTGATTTTAGGGAATTGCACTTTGTTCACTCTCCCCCTTCCAACTTGGAAAGTTCCAATTTTTCCTCCAATTAGAAATCAGATTATCTAATTTTTTATCCTGGTTAATTGTTTTCTTTTAATTGTTCTTATTTGATTAATTGCTTTTAATGAAAAAAAGTCTGTGTCCCCTGGTATTACAGATCTATCTCTAAGCTGAGGAAGGGGCCTGGTCCTGATTTATTAGGCAATTGGCATGCATTGCTTAATAAAGTGATATGCTTTGAAGCTGGAACCTTTGTTTCCTCAGTTATTTCATCTTTCACCCACCACATCTCTATTCCCCCACTTCTGTGTGGGGTATAAAAGCTGGTAGATATTAATAATTATAACCTTGAATATTAGATCTGCATGTTTATAGAAGTAAAAGTATTCAGAAACATTACATTTCTCTTAAGAATTCTATTCAGCCTCAGCTGAGCCATCACTAATGTTTTACGATTCTTATTTAACTCTAAATAGTTCCCTTTTTCAACCCCCATAGCAACAGTTTCAAAACTCTTCTTACTTATTACCAGTTTTGCCCTGAAACCTCTCTGTTTCAAGTAGATAACCTTCACTTTTAATTTTCTGAGTATCTTAAGATTGATGCTTTCACCCTTAGCTTCATTCCTCCATCCCTCATGACTTTGCAGCAGCATCTCCCACCATCTTTCCCATTGGTCACAAAAGAGATACCCTTAATCCTCACTAGTGTTCATCCCTCTACCTGTGACCTTGAACTCATTCTTTTAAATCCTCCAGAACCTTGCTCTGTTGGTTATGCCCTAGAACATGGAGAGACTTCAACTTCTCTTTGAAGCTCCAGATCCGTATTTTCAATGATGTCTTCTCGGCAAATGAAATTCAATATATTGAATTTGAAATTCAATAAATTCAATACATACTGAATTTCAAATAAATCCAATGCATATCTTTTTCCACAGACTTGCCCTTTGTTCTTGTCATAAGACCACAGATTCATAATAGGAAAGGACTTTAGAAGTCATCTAATCCAACCCTCTCATTTTTATGATGAAGAACTGGGGCCCAAGAGGTTAAGTAACTTGCCAAAAGACCCAGGATTCCAACGCATTTGCTCTGATTCTACATTCATCACCTTCTTTGCTATAGCTTATTTTTTTTCACTAATTTTATTATTCTGTATATGTCACCACTTTTTATCCAGTATCTCATGTTTGTAATTTAGGGATTTGACTGAAGCCTGGGTCACAGACATGACAAAAAGGCTTAAGCCTCCAAACTTACATCAGTAACTTCCACCGTCTCAGACCCAGCTAGGGGGAGGAGACCACTTTGTTTCCAGTGTAGTTTTTCTTTTTTGATTTTTTTTTTGCGTAGACTTTATTAAAACAAATTAAATAAGCCAACATTCTATCATGGTGGAGAAATTTTATTCAAAGTGTTAACTGAAAAGAATCATAATGGTGGAAATCAGACCCCCTTGAAAGTTAGGACAGTTAATGGTATATTCTAAATGCTGACATGGTTTTAATTTGAACATATTGTGTACTTCATAATGTTATTTCAAGCATGAGATATAAAAAAGACTTAGTGATCTGAAAATAATGAAAGATCTTCAGAAGTTATAGTTACACCACTTATTTTCCCATTTTCTATTTGTGCCATATTTGCAGTTTCATATTCATCCCCATTACTGACAAAGAATAGTAGCAGCAATAGCCATGAATACCATTTTTTTTTGTGCTACATCCTCCCTAGCTGTTATGAAAAGAGTAGAACTGTTCCAAGGATGCCATTAGAAGCACAATTCTCTTTTGGAAAGGAGAGAAATTTTCAAGCTATATGTTTTCACTTTAGTGACCCCTAAAATAATTACAATGTAAGTCTAGTTATTTCCAACCCAACAGCATTATTCTTTATCATAACAAGGGTGTCAAGGACAGTATGCTATGGGACACTTGGGAGCATTCATGTCAGAACCAGGTGACATACATTTCCTTTGTTTTGTAGATGAATACCTAAGTCTCACCAGAAGATAGCATTTACTGTGTAATTTGATCCATTTTGGGCTAAAATATGTCAAATAATAATTTTATATTATCTGTTTGCAGATTCATCACTATTATCCTTGAAATAATAGCCATAAAAGACCCATATTTGTCAGCGAAAGTATGTACTTAGGAAGCTACAATTCCTGGATTGAGTGCTAATGAAAATGTTCATTTTCCCACCTACCGAGAACACTGCTGTAACTGCAGTGGTGCAGCTCTTATCCATGATTGCTGGCAGTCATGTTGCTTTTGAAAAAACTGTGTCATATCAGCACATTTTATTTTGTTCCCCCCAGATGAAACTGAGCAACACTGGAACACCTGTTACTCAACTTGAACAAAGGGAATGCAGGATGTGTCACCTAGATAATTAGCATCCTAACTTCCAAGGGGACTGATTTCCACTATCATGATTCTTTTCTGTTAACATGGTAAGTGCAAGTTTTCAGACACTTTAGGATATTGGTTTATTTCCCTTTTTTTTTAAGTAAAGCACATTTAAAAAAAAAACATTTAAAAAACACCAAAAAAGAAAAACTACCCTGGAAACAAAGTGGGTGTCTATCTTCCATCTACTGAGGAATAAAGAAGTGGTGATGTATAAATATGATGAGAAATAATTGCAATATAAGAATCAACAGACATAAAATGTTACAAGACACTTGGAGAGATTTATTTAAATTTATCCAGAGGGAAGAAAAAACAAAGAACATTGTATGTAGTGACCACAATAATGCTATGATGAAGTTTATAGGGAAGAGCATCAAAATGTGACAATAACACTAAAATAAAATCAAGAGGATTTATTTTTGAAAAAATTAAAAGTTTTAAAAAGAAATGGCATATGTGAAGGTGATTGCATTTGTTTGACATTTACTTGCTCTCTGCTACTGACATTTGACACTATTAGGATAACACACTACAAGTTAAAAGGTAAGAGTAAAAAGGTATTTTTAAAAGAGTATACTTAAACCTTGTTAAAACTGTTTTGTTTTTCTCACTATACTTGTAGAATGGAGTATAATAAATGACGCTGCTACATATAAGAGGAAATCCTCCTACAGAGGTCAGGGCAGAACTACCTTCAATATATCATTTGATTTTCTTAGAATTATTCCTATTGTTACTCAAAAATTAAATAAATCTCCACAGATACATCATGAACCCTAGCTCTCCAATGAGGCACCTTGTCACCTAGCTGATGACAATAGCGATATTTTCTTAGTTTCAAAGAGACTCTGACATTCCAACACATTCAATTGTGTCTAAGACCAAATGTCACAGACTTTTTTTTTCTTAGAAGCTAAATCATTATTAGCTAAACCTTTGGTATTCCCTTTGAGGTAATTCAAATGTGGCATCTGATATAAATAACAACATAGTAAGGAATGTTTTCCAGGTTTGTGACAATAGTTCTTTTTGTAGTAGCCTACATATAACAAAAGGACTGTGTGCCCAAAATCAACTATTGCCATTCAGTAAAAAAAAAAAAAAAGTCTTTAAAATTATAACAGGGATAATATAACCAGTTCTAATGGAAAATTGTAAGTAATTCTAGCCTCCATTTCTATACACCAACAATTTCAAAGGCAAGTGACTTGGTAAACACACAAGAGACCTCCTAGGAAATTTGTACTACATGCTTCTTACCTAAACCCAAAAGATTAATTCAAAGTCATTGTGATATAGAGGAAAGAATACTGGGTTTAAAATATGGAGACTTGAGTTCAAATCCAGCTCTGCTACAGTACTTACCATCTGTCTGATCATAGGCAATTGACTTCACCTTCCTGGGCCTCAGCTGTAAAATTAGAGGATTATATGCTAAAATTCCTAAAGTTCTAAATCCCATAGTCGTATGAAATCATATAATTTATCAATTCCAGTGTTTTTTCATTTATTAAGTAATCACACAGCTCTTGTGTATGGTTTATGCTCAGTATTGATTTTCTGGAATTATTTTGGCTTAGATATAACCAATTTATACAATTTTATAATCTTGTCACAATGAGAAGTAGACTACTTTATTCAAAAGAATGGGGGAGTGATAATCACATAGTATTATTGCTCCCTCCCCACATATACACACAATTAAAAAAATGCTAGAATATCAATATACTCTTACTTTTTCATCTCTATAAAATCTTGAGTGTAATGGTCTTTACCTGTACTAAAGATATCTTTAATGAAAATAGAAGAAAGGAACAGTCAGGTTTCCACAAATGAATTTCTATATATCTTTGCAGTCAAACAGTTCAATGATGTAAAGAACACAGTTGTAACTGTTTTTCTTTATGGACTATTAAATGCATTAGCATTGGTAAATCAAACTGCCATGTTAAAGAACCTTTTCAAACAAGATATTTCATGCATATGTCAAAATTATACATCTTTCATATCTTGATTTATTATCATGATCACTGGTACAATGGTCTCTTGGTTCTCTCTCTCTCTCTCTCTCTCTCTCTCTCTCTCTCTCTCTCTCTCTCTCTCTCTCTTTCTCTCTGGTTAGAATAAATTTAAATATCTTTCCAAGTTTCTCTGAACATTTCGTGTCTGTCAGTTATTATAATGCAATAATTTTCCATCAAATTTATATACCACAACTTTTTTTTTAATCATTCCTTACCTTTAACCATTCCTTAAGTGTTGCATGGATCTCCCTATGGAGCATTTACAAGAAGGCGTGGACAAGAATTGCATTAGATGAAGCTAAGATGTGATCTATATATCAGTGATCACCAATGTGCATCAGAAAAATCACTGATAGATTGTGGTATCAAATTATATTACAGTGAATGTGGTAGTATATATACATATATATATATATATATATATATATATATATATATATACATATTCCTGTTGTGATATCAAGCTATGGTACAATTCACATGATCATTCTATCTTCCCTTGTAGTTAGGAATTGATACTGAAGCCAATCCATATGAAGCATTCGCAAGGAGAAATGTTGGGAATAGAAGCTTATTAGAGTTTCTTGAAGATAACGTGCAAACAAATTTGGGCTTCAGGAATGTTTATGAAAGTACTGAATATGTCCAAAACTGGAGTCATTATATTTCTTGACAAACCCTCCCCTCTTCCTAATTTCCCCATTACTGTCAAGGGCACCACCACCACCTACCCAGTCATTTAGGCTTTCAACCAAGGTGTCATCCTTGACTCCTCATTTTTACCCCCCCCATTTCTAATCAGTTTTCAAGTCTTGTCATTTCTACCTTCCTCTTATCTTTCATATATGACCCTATCTCTCCTCTGAAACCGTTGTCACCACCCTGGTGCAACTCAATTCAATAAACATTTATTCAGCACCTACTACGTGCCAGGCACACAAATGACAATAAGAAAGGCAGTCTCATGGAGCTTATAATCTGATGGGGGAATACAGTATACAAAAGGGAAGCTGGAAAGTGAGGGAAAGAGCAAAATCAGGGGATACCTAACATGGGGGCATGATGGTCTCTGGAGTATAAACTAAAGAGAGCTGCTGATGGAAAATAGAGAGTTCCTTCATAAGCTTTGGGAGGAGTTTAGTGTGCTTCCCTCCAGGCCTCCAATGAGAAAGGAGAGGAGGCTGAGGGAGTTGGGAAGAGTATCCACAGCTGACTCACTCAGATACTGATGAGATTGCAGTAGATCAGTTTATGCTGATTGGGCCACGATGTTCCCTAGAGTTCAAAACAAGCACAGCAGCTGATGGAGAGTGGTGTATGTCCTCATCCTGATCTATTACAATAGCTTTTTAATTGGTCTTCCTGCCTCAAGTCCTTCCTCCCCTCAGGTCTATGTGACTAATATATTCAATTCACTTCAGTGGCTCTCTATTACCTCTAGTAACAAATACAAAATCCTCTTTTTACCTTTTAAAACCTTTCATTACTTGGCCCCTTTTTCTTATACCATATTCCCCCTCATATGCTTTCCTTGCTATTCCTCACAGAAAGACACTCCATCTTGTAACCCAAAGCATTTTTCACTGGCTGATTTCCCATCTCTAGAATTCTTTCTCCTCATCTATGACTCCTAGTTTCCTTCATTCTCAGCTAAGTCCTACCTCTTGCAAGAAATCTTTCCCAGTCCTGCTTAATACTTAGTGCCTTCTCTCAGAGAATGTCCCCAGGGTTTATCCTATACATATTTTGGTTGCAAATAGTTGTTTGTGTGTTATCTTCTAGTTGACAGTTGAAAAGAGAACAATGATGTTTCAGATTGATTTCCCCCACACACACCTTAAGACTGCTGAAAAGAGCACTTAGCATCAGTGGCAGTCTTGAAGCATGGCTGTCCTTCCTTCCTTCCTCTTCCTCCTCGCTCCCCCACCTCAACAAACAAGCATACTTTTCTATCTGAAGAAAAGGGCCAAGCTTCAGGTCATGTTTGTCTATGCCACCACAAGTCATGTCTACACATTTAGGCAACTATGTAGAAATACCTACCTTGCATTATATATGTTATATACATATAATAAAGGTCTTTGCAGTGTGAAGTAGAGGTGATCGTGGGATTCAGCTATCATTTAGGCAGTGTTTGACATGAGAAGATTTGAGAAAGAATGGATCATGATCTTTTGATCATGAAAGGCACTTAAAAAACAAGGCAACCAAAAAGACCAAAGCAACTTGAGTAACTATGTTCACTTTCTGATTGACATAAAATCTTTATGAGAGTAGTCTTTGCATGTGCTGAGGGTATCCTTGAAGTAAACATTAAAAGGGAACAGGCAGACTTTTGCAGATGACTTTTTTTTTTTCAGCAAACTGCCTTCGCAGTTATGTAACTGAGAGACAATGAAAATATGTTTCTGTTCTATTGTTTGTAGATCACATACGCAAAAAGAATTGGATACACAAGTGACTAGAAAAAAAATGCAACCTTAAAAGCTCTTTTTAAATGAGGCAGCCCCACACATATGTTCCAATCATAATAAAGAATCTATGACAGATACAATTACAGCTAATTGTTCAACAATCTGGTTAGTGTGAACATCAAGTAAAACACAAAACCAGGAAACATTTTTGCCTAGGTTGTTCATCAGTATTAAGGAAGATGCTCTGCATATCAATGGTGTGGTCCTCTAAGCGCTTCCAATACAAGATAATATCATGGAAATTTCACTAAGTCCCAGAATATAACTAAGCTTACTTAAAGAAATACAGTTACTTGGATGAAGTGATGCAAAGAAAAATGAGCCGCAAGAGAACATTGTATACAATGACAGCAATATTGCAAGGATGATCAATTCTGAAAGACAGCTACTATGGTCAAGACAAGGATCCAAGACAATTCCATAGGACTCATGATGAAAAATGCTCTCCACCTCCAAAGAGATTTGATGAACTCCAAGTGCTGACTGAAGCATACTTTTTAAATTTTATTTTTGTGCAATTTTTTGTGTTTTTTTTTTTGCAACATGGCTAATAGGGAAATATCTTTTGCATGACGTTACATATATAATTGATATCATATTACATGCCTTTGCAAGGGGTGTGGGAGGGGCAGGAGGAAGGGAGAGAATTTGGAAGTCAAAATTTTTTTTAAATGACTGTTAAAAATTATATATTATATATATATGTATGCATATGTATATATATTTGGAAAATATTTAATAAAATAAAAATATTTTTAAAAGAAAAGAAATCCAATTACTCAGAAGTTATCATAATTATTTATGCAAGTAAACAGAAGTAGATATAAAAAAAAAGAACATTGTCCAGATAATATGTACCTGGACATGTTACCTTATTAAATTAATAAATCAGTATCTTGCATGGTATTGGTGAGAAACAATGAACTTGACCTATGGTTCAGTAGGAGGAATAGGAGATTGAGCTCAGTCACTTTTGGCCAACTGAACTGTGCTTCTAATGATCCCAAGCTTTCTACTTCAGTAAATGGGTTTTTTTTGTTTGTTTTGTTTTTTTGGCAGTTGATAATTTCCAAGTTATGCTAACTGTGTTAGTATTTCAAAAGAAGCAAAATCACAGTTGACAATTGAAATTGACAAGGAAATGCAAATATGCATGGTGGGTGTAAGTCCTCTGAAACATATTATCAGTGAGGATGAACACAAAAAAGTAGAATCAATAAAAGCATCAAATACACATGTGATAAGAAATGGTGGAGCAGAAAGTTTCTTCCTATCCCCTTAACCGGGAGGTGGGGCTAACATTTCAGGCTCGAAATTCAAAGACAAGCAAAGAGGCCAGAAGCCAAGGGCAAACGGCTCAGGTTGGGGCTGGGGTAGGGCTTATTCTTTCTGTTAAGTGCTTAAAAACAGGCTCTGAGTGGGGAAGGATTTTGAAAGTAATAATCAAGAATTATTTGACCCTTTGAGGAGCCTTCACTTCTGAGAGTTCACTTCTCACACTACCTTCTGAACTCATTACCTTAATTACACTGAGAAGTCTTCACTGGGACATCCCATTCAGTAATATGTTGCAGCTTCCTCATCCCAATCATGCATCTCTCATGCTCTGTGAGTGACCCAAACTTTAATTCTTCAGAAACCATGATATTCCATAAGTTGAAGCCATATAGATTCACTGTAATCATACTGATGATTTAAAAAAAAGATAGGTGTTTGTCTTGGGATAAGGGAAAATTCAGTCTACTAATTCTCTTCCTCCCTTTCCATTCTTGTCCCAGCACATTATCTATAGTAGCTATGATCTAGATATGTATTGATATAATAACTAAATTAGCCTTCCAACAATATGCCAAGGTCAAAACAATAAATGTTTGTATGTATCCAATTTTTTCTACATAGATTGTTACACCAATTTTAAAATAATCATGGAGTTCATCGAAGAAGCCTTCTAAAGTTCTAGCATTGATGCAATCAGTCCAATGCTACCTTCAGATAGAGCATCTAGAGGACCTTCTTCCATTTGGACCCTACTCATGACATCTTCCATGATAGCTAGGAAACACATTTGAAGAGTATTCATTTTCCTGTCTGATGTCTCCTGTGATATAAGGTCATTAAACAGTTACCCTTAAGGTTGCATTCATCTAGGAATACTCTATTATCTCAACATTTTTGGGGAGAAACTCCTTGTTGGAGAAGAGCCACTGAAGTATTTAAGAATTAATAAATAACCTGGAAGGCAATTCATTTACTTCAGTAACTATTACTACATTTAGCTAGCATTAAATTTTACCCAACAGTGATTAGCTAAATAAAGAGGTAATTCACCATAGCCCCATGGAAAATCTTTCTAAAAACTGGTTTACCAAAATTTCTAGTTTACCTGAAGGTTTCCTGTAAGGTAATTTCTGCTTGTTAACTCCAGTCCCAAAGGAAACCTGGGAGAATATTGTCTTGAGAACAATGAATCTTTTTTTTATTCCTAGCACCTAGCACATAATAGGTACTTAACAGAAGTTCACTGAATTGTGGAACCTAGTTGACCAAAAATAAAGGAGCTAAAAATAGGATGAGTCATCAACATCTTCATCACCACTACCATCTTACTTCGCACATATAGGATAAGGACTGGATCGCTGGTTTCATTGGTATAGGAAGTGAAGAAATTCCCTTTACTAAAGGAGATTGCATATTCTCTATAACTTAAACTTAGAGAGTCGCATCAACACCCTGACTTGCCTAGGGTCACACAGTCAATATTATTCAGAAGCAGGACTTGAACCAAGCTCTGAGGCCAGCACTTCAACTAGTATACCACTTTGCCTCAGCTTCCTATGTAAATTTGAGAAAATTGAACAAAAATGAAAACCTCATTTTTACCATATTCATAAAATTTGTTCTTTGAAGGAAGGAGGGAAAGGAGCATTAGCTAGGGCATAATACAATTTACTGCCTAGAGTTCAACATGTTTAAACATAGCAAGAGATACTTTCAAAATTAATTTTTTGCCAATGCAAATAACTTCATTGTCAAAAGAAATTTCATGCTTCAAAGAATACAGGTATTTATTTTGGAGTAATTCAACTAACATGAGTCACATCAAGGTCCCAAAGCTTCAACACATGGGAGGGTACAATTTTTAAACGCAAAGAGGAGGCTGCAGTTTCCTAATTTTGCCTAGTCCACATAGATGATCTGTCAGGGAATGTGCCCAAACAAAGCTTGCATTTTTGGCTTTGTGAATAAAAGACCATTAGCTTTCACAAGCTGTATCAGAAATAATGTGCAGGTGTATTCAGAATTGAACTATTTGCATGGACACAAAAGAGTAGTTTTTCTAAAAGTAATACCATTCAGGAAATCTGCAAGGGGAGGGCTCAGATCAATGTCATTATCTAGAAGGCACTTCTGAAATAGATTTTAAATCCTTTGATATAATTGCTTGCTGAGTTTGCCATAATGGTAGCACTATCCTTTTGACTGATTGAGGGCCTTTCAATGTTCAGGTTTCACTTATGCTGCCAACCTATCCACGGTAGATGAACCTTAAAGTTAGACAGATGTTTGATGTTTAATTTAGCTAATATGGCACTCTATGAGTCAACAAAACACATTCTGTGTTAATGCCCCCGAAGTGGGTGAGGGACAGGAACACATGCAGAGCTAATCTTCCTGTGTTAGCAGTCAAGCCTTTGCTCTCTGAAACTATTAAAATGAATTCTGATTTGAAAGCCCAGTGGCAGTATTTCTCTCCCTCCTCCCTTCAGAAATGTACTACTGATTACACTGGAGCCTTCAGAATCTGAATTCAATGAATAAATTAACAGTGCATAAAACAGTTAAGTGAAGCATGAGGAGCAAGGAAGTAAGAAGAGTAATTTCTTCAAGAAAGACCCTATTTTTCCACAATCCTTGAGATCAACCGTGGGCCAGCATGCTGGTGTCTCCTTTTCTTCTTCTGCCATTCCCTCAAAGTACAGGTGAGAAGAAAGTCTATGCTATGATCCTCTAAAAAGGTCAGTGACTTTCCCAGAGTTTCCCAGTTTACAAGTTTATGGGACAGGACCACAGCATCATAAGCTCAGACCTGGATGGGACTTCAGAAGCCAACCAATCAGACTTACTGACTTCCTACATAAGGAAATAGATTGACAAGGAGGTTAAGTGACTTACTCAAGGTCACATAATTTAGAAGTTACAGAGTTAGGATTTAAACCCAGGTCCTCTGGCTCAAGCCCAGCACTTTTTCCACTATACCAATTTTCTAATCTCTTGCCTAGTACACATAAATTATCTGACATGAAATGTACATAAGAGGCCATTAGTCAGAAACAATAGTGTAGGTATATTTAGAAGGACTGAACTATTTGCATGGACACAGAGAATTGCCTTCCCTCTTCTATTCACTGTGTCCTGGAGGTATTGTGACCACAAATTGAGAATTAAGACCAAAACCTTTATGGGTGACTCATTAAGTATTGAGTCCATTATTAGCCCAATCAACAAAAAATGACATGGTGAGATTTTTATATTTTCTTCACCTCTCAACTGTAAGACTTTAAAGATGTAGTTTGTATTTTAAAAAGTTAAACACACAAGAACCTGAATGTTTCTTCCTCTTTTCTCAGTAGTATTTAAGAGACATGGAAAAGTGGGCATATGGATCAGTGAAAATTGATCTCTTCTCAATCATCTTTTTTGTCAAATATATTGTGTACAATTCTTTCCACTTCTTTGCAAAATCCTTGAAGTATTTTGAAACTCAGACCTCAAGTGCCTTTAAAATTATTTTACTTTTAATACAAATTTCTTCTCTATGCACCTAATTAGATTCAGTGATTCTCTGCAACTTCCTTTCATTTGTCACTTCATCATATAGTAAGGTACTAACATGGTAGAATTTAATGTTATCAGTGTCATTGCTAATAAGAATAAAACATTACATAAATTCTGACTAATCCAGTCAGCTTCATATCTATTTGTCAACTTCCTTCCAGTTTCAGTCATCTACACTGGAGTGAGGATTTCATTCTATAGTTTCTTGATATGACAAAAAAAAAAGCATTTAAAATTTTAGGACAGAACCCAGCCTAAAGGCTTGTGCCAAATAACATTCCTTTTAAGCATATGATAGGATTGTACAAGGTGGCTGCCAAAGGCAAGACTAGGTAAAAACATAAACTCATCCATAAAATCTTAGGAAGAAAGACAATGGACAATTATTAGAACAATTGTCTCATAAAGCAGAGTGAAACAGCAGAAGTTAAAATTGTTTAAAGAGAGGTTATCAAGATATCCAATTAAGCAAAGTCATCTCTAGGGTGTTCAAGTTTGAAAATGGAAGGAAGACTAGAAACAAGAAAAGTACCAAAAGTTTGCAAAAATTTTGACAACGAGTTTTTCTCCATCTAGGATAGTGGAACAACCACATACATACCCTAAGTTAGGAAGAAGAAATGGCACTCAAAAGAATACAGAAGGGACAAGTTAGCAGGTTAGATCAAGAATATAAACAGGCTATACAGTTATGAGGACATTGAAGAGCTAATTTGCAGGGTATT